ATTATATTCTATAATTTTATGCAATGTATTCATTATTCTAATACTAATTTTACTTTTATAAAAGGATGAGAAATCCCTCGATATGACATAGGTTGATGGATATGACAGCCAATTCATTGAATACTCCAGACTTATCGACACAGGTTGATGGCGGTAATAGTCAATCCATTGAATACTCTAGACTTGTCGACGTCGGGAAACACATTTGATAAAAAATTTAAAAAGAAAGTTTTTGTTAAATTTAATATTAGTTTTTTACTTCAAAAATTAAATTATGTTTATGTTATTCTAAGACGAATATATTAATTATCACAGGATGAGAGCCAATTGAATCGAATCAGGATCGTACTATTGATAATCAATTTGTTGGATTAAATGCAGACTTATCCACACAGATATCGACCACTAATAGCAAAGACAAAAAGAAAATTTTAGGTATATCATCTATTACTACACTAGATTCTTCTACATTTAAAACCCCACCTACAACCAGTAACAAAACAAGGATACAATCAGGTTGAATTATTTATACATTAACTTTTTTTAATATATAATATTTTTATGGTGATTTACTTATTACACATGTTTTATATTTTGCAGAAATAAATAAAGAACTAGCTCTTTCAACTTTGAAGAAGAGGATTATGAACGGAGAAAAAATGGCTGAAAATTATAGGAGATTTTCTTAATATTTTACTTATTGCATTATATGATTTGTTGATTGATAGAGATTTTTTTAGGATGCATCAATTGTGAATAATGTCTTTAAACATTAACTGTTTAATATCTTAATTGCATTCAAGTTGTATTTAGATACATTTTGATTTTCTTTAGTTTATTCATTTCATATGAAAGTATTAGTTTAAATTATCTTAAGTTTAATTATAGCATTATATAATTTGTTCATCATCATGATTTCCGAGCAGGTACATATTGTCTAACCTCAATCACGAGGTTCACATGCTTTAGAAGGGGAGGTGAGTCAGTAAAATTTTTAAATTCTATTGGGATACGAGTGATTGAAACAAAACAAAATGTAAGTGGATTGCGATAAGACCGTGCTTGACACAAGGCTAAAAAACTAGTTTATAAATAATATCCCAACAGATCCTCTTGCTCTCTAACAATATTTAGTCATTATCCGGAAGAAAACAAAAAGAAATGAATGAAGTAGAAGAAATACTATTTCTACTACTTCTAAAACTTTGTAGAGGAGAAAAAAGTGTATTTCAACTACTTTTTACTTCATAATTTTTCTTGTTGACCAAACATGCTCTAAGATGTGGAGTATTCACTAATAAAAGTTGCACAAGTAGCATAACGCTTCAATGAAGATATTTTTAAATTAAAATTCAAAAAGAACAGATAACAAATAAAGTAAATCAAATTTTAGTACTACTTGATACTAATATATCATACTCCCTTTAAAAGTACGAGTTTGGGAAAATCTTTTAATGGTCAATATTACCCTTAACTTTTTAAAATATTACATTATTATCCTAATCTATTCTAATTATCCTATCTTCTTTAAATTAGTAACTAAATGATTTATCTTATTCACTAATGAGACTTAACATGTTATTTGATAAAAGAGATATGTTTCATATAATTCAAATCCTTTACTTGTTTTAAATCGTAGAGAAATCTAAAAAACATATGCTAGCTAGCACCTAAATATTTTTGGACTTTGTAAAAAATATTCTTCAAGTTTTTTAAATTGCAAAAAAAAACCCCTACAAATTTAAAATTTTATTAAAGCATCTTAAAAATTATAAATTTTACTTATTTCAATTCAGTGAGAAATCTGAAAAACATATGCTAGCGAGAAACTGAAAGTTTTTTGACTCTGGAGAAAATATCTTGTAAGTTTTAAAAATTAAAAAAAACCCTAAAATTTTAAAATTTATAAAAAACACCTTAAAATTTTCAAACCTATAAACACACTAAAAACCTACAAATAACACAAACAACCCCCAAAAATTTATAAAATTTATAATAAACACACTAAACTTTTTACAAATTATAAAATAAAACCCTCAAAATTATAAAATTTACAAAAAATCTGATAATTTCCAACCTAACAGTGCATTAAAAATATAAGAATTACAAATATCCCCTATATAATTTATACAAAACACCCTTAAAGTTTTAAAAATTACAAACAAACTCTTAAAATTTAAAGTTTACAAAAAACACCCTGATATTTTTAAACTCATTAGTAAATTAAAAGCATAGAAATTATAAATAGTCTATAAATAATTTACAATCTGTAGAAAAGGCCTATAAGTTTAAAAAATTGCAAATAGACCCTAAATTTTATAATTTATGAAAAAACATCATGGGAATTTCTAACCTATAGTTATTAAAATGAATATGCAAAATTACTAAGAACCCCTAAAAAATTAAAATTTTATAAAAAATATCATACACCCTTTAAAAGTATAGGTTTAGGAAAAACTTTTCTTGGTCAATATTATCCATAACATTTTTTAAAAGAACATAACTAATTAAAAATCTATTAAATTTAAAATTTAGTACATTACAAATTACCCCTCCAAAGTTTAAATTTTTTTAATAATTTTTGGTAATTCCTTAATTTCAATATAATGTTTAATAGTTTTGTGTATTTATAAATTACAAGATTTTAGGGTGTTTTTTATAATTTTTAAAACTTTTGAGGGTGTTTATTTTGTAGTTTTCTAAATCTGCATTGTGTTTTTAGTGTAATACATAGATACTTCAATAAATAATGATATTGTAGAGTAAGTTATTTTTAAGATTATTAGGCTATAGTTAAGTGTGCACATCACTATTCCTAGGCAGTATAATTTATATATGTAAAATTTTTCAAACAATCTATATAATGGTTAAAAATATTTTGACTTTAATGTACTATTTTTTATAAATTATATTTAATGTGACCCCAACTGAGTTTGACTGTGGTCATCATAATTTTTATATGTTTGATTGATTGACTATATATGTATATTGATTATAAATTACTTTACTTTCTCATATGAGCTAATATTTGGCGCTTAATAATTTAAATTATTACTTTTAAATTTAATATAAAGAGGAGCTCTAATAAAATTTATTTATTTACCTACAGGATAATCCAATCTCAATTCCTATTTTTTGCTTGAGATTTATTCTATAGTTACGAGTATCAAATTAGTAACTATAATAATAATTATTTATGCTTAAATTAGGATGATTGTAGTTGGTCACTCGCTATAAAATTTTTATGAAGATATACACCTTACTTTCTATTACTATTTCAACTGCCCATATATATTTTATAAATTAGTTGTTAATTTGATATATTAAATTACTTTTTTTTGAAGAAATTTCTTCTTTGATTTTTGGATCGTGTAATCACTATATCATCATTCTAGCGTAGAAAAACCTCACTCTAAATGGTTTCAAGCCAATATTTGAGTTAAACTGAAGTATATACTGTTGCTACTATGTGTATATATTTTTTAAGAAAATAATGTCAATATTTTTAAAATAGAAAAAAATATTCTAACATTTGATATTATAAAAACTAAATATAGTCAATTGAGTAATTAGTAAAAGAGAACTTACATCAAAAAAGCATGAATAATAAGATAAAGAGGAAGGATAATGATATTGCCAACAATACTACAAATAGCAAACTATAATGTAAAGTTAACCTATTTTGTAGAGACCACCTACTGGCTATAAGCATTGAGGTTTTCATATATATACTTTATAATTTATTAAAATGGGTCATATAATCTTATATAATAAAATTGATTCAGTACTGAATAATAATATCGTTATAATAATATCCTTATCAGAGAAAATTCTTCATGAACCAATATGTTCTTTACAATGTATAAGCTATACACTCCAAATTCTTGGGTCTTTATAGAGCTAAAAAGTTTAAATACGAGCTTCTAGCATGTTGTTCTCACAACAGCAAAATCCACTTAGCAGCTGTGAATATTTCAGATGAGTTATATGTTTTATATACAATATAATTGCCCTAGACAAATAAATTATAATAGCATTTTTAATTCACATCGTTTGGTGTAAGATTTGATAGGGACATTGCATTAAAGAATTTTTTTTATATTTAGAGCTCATGGCGAAATATATCATAATCTCCCTGCTCTAATTTCACAAGAAAATAATTCTTTATACTTTCAGTTTTATTTCTATGGTACAAAGAATAAGCTATAAAATTGAATGAGAATATTTTATAATGTAAATATGAGTAAAATCACAACTAAAAGTTAACGTGAATATGAGTCAAACCACAACTAAAAGTTTAACGGACATATTGCAAGTAAATTCATATACAAAATTCCTTTGTGAATTGAATGATCACCCATCTTTTGAAGACTTCAAGATACTAATAAATAGAGATGTTGTACTAAATTAATTTGTTTATAACTCACAAATAGTAGATCATGTGGCCACAGTTTGGGTTGAAGGAAACAATGACAATATTTTATTTGAGAGAGAGATTATTGAGTTGATGGTCAATCCTACAAAAAACTTTATTTTCTTTTTTCTTTTTACTTTTTTTTATTAATTTAAATAATCATGATATTTAACCACGTGCATTGCACGTGCATCTCACCTAGTTAGAATGAAAAGCTGAAGCTCATCATCTGGTAACCGATTTCAACTTTCAACAGAGAAATAGGCCCATTCAAGATCTATCATTTGCTTTAAGACTCCGCATTATCTCTCAGCTAAATATGGCTTACGGGAGAAATTGTTAAAGAGAAGATTCGACTAAGATGTGCCAATAATTAATTAATTGGTGAAGGCAAAACGGAATGAACTTCGCATGTATTTTTTATTTTTATTTTACCTTCGTACGCCGTGAAATCTAAGTAATTTGATGGGCTTCATGCGTTTCAGCCCCAATTCATACCGAGTGACTCAGCGGGCCGACCCAAGATCCACAGTCACGAGCGGGACAACAGGACACAACGCGTGTTTGGTGGACGGAGAGAAAGCTCACCAGAAGCTACCTGCGTATGGCGTACGTTAGCATTGACCCCCACCCGCCCTTTTCTTTCACCCAGCGCTGATTCTTTACGCAAGCGGAAGCGGTGAGCTCTCCTTATTAGCCCTGGCCTCTCACAAAACTTTCGTTAATTCGGATCATTAATTATCTCAAGCACTTTTTGCCGATGTGATAATTGAGAGAGAGAGAGAGAGAGAGAGAGAGAGAGAGAGAGATTTATGCAACTGAGCCGTACTTTGTCATCGTCAGTTCACAAGCGAATGCCGTCTAGGGATCTCTCGATCCCCATAGATGATGATGATGATGATGTCTCATCAGGTTTTGTTTTTTTTTAATATATATTTTTAATTTGAAAAAAAAAAGATTTTTGTGTAATAAAATTGGAAATGTTCTCATACTATTTTTAAAATTTTGAATTGTAGCTCGGTCTTATTTGTCGAATGAGATGAAGGGAGAAGAGGATGGAATAGGCGAAAATAATAATAGCAGTCATTATTCATGGAAGCAATCCCTGCCTCATGTTTTGGTGGCTACAATATCTTCCTTTTTATTTGGTTATCATCTGGGGTACGATTAACTGAATAACTATTTTAATTGAAGGAACTTTGTGCAATTTAATCCTATATTCACTTGTTTGCTGCCGCCTTAGTGTTGTGAACGAGCCGCTGGAGAGCATATCGGTGGATCTGGGGTTTGCTGGGAACACCTTGGAAGAAGGTGAGGGTTTTTGTTATTTCTAGTGGTTGTGAAAGGAATTAAGGTTTGGCTTGTTTGTTGATTTTTGGTTCTTGTTTTGATCTAGGGCTTGTGGTGAGCATGTGCTTGGGTGGAGCGCTTGTTGGGTCTTTGTTTAGTGGGTGGATCGCGGATGGGATTGGGCGGCGAAGGGCATTTCAGCTGTCTGCTTTGCCTCTTGTCGTCGGAGCTTGTTTGAGGTAGTGGAACTTCTGATATTACTACTCGCTGGAGGCGTCATTTGAGTAGATAGATAGATTGATTCAGCTATTACCTTGCCTCTATCTTTACGCTCAACAAACAAGTTAGATTATTGAAGAATTATTTGCTGCCTTAGTATGATACGTGCTTTCTAAACTAGGTTCTTCAATTTAGTTTGAATCTTTAGAGTTTGGCATCCATTACAAGATACCCTGGTTAAGAAGCCGTTGAAGTGTAATTTGCTCGAGTGACGAGAGCTATGTAGCATAAGCAGTTCTGCTCTGAATCACCCATGCCAATACATTAATCCATGTGTCGGACACCACCACCTCTTTAGATGCTTCTCAGATACATTTAGACACCTCTGAATTGCATTCTCAGTCATTTATGTTTTAATCTACAACATTCGTAACGGAAACATATCCTACAATTTTTTTTTGTTCACTTTACATGTGTGATAGTCCTTCAATTTCAGAAAAAAAAACTATAATCTAATGCAAAAAGCATCAAAGCATTGTTTGCAATAAGTCTAGAAATGTTTGAATTAGGAAATGATATACATCGAGGTACTCCTTAAAAATTGAAGAGCCAAGCATATTCCTTTCACAAAGTGATAAAGATGTGTAATAGTTTAGCATACGTATTATTGTATATTTTACATTATTACAAGTATGTGTATGGTCTTTGGATGTAAAAATGTATAATGTGCATGAATTATTCTACTCTGATTAGAAAGTTCTTAGCATCGTGGAAAAATACCATTAATATTTCACATATTCATAAATTTTTTGATGATTTTGGAAGTTATTCTGAAAAGTTGCATTTTGTAGTGCAAGTTCAGCTACTCTGCAAGGAATGCTTGTTGGTAGGTTCTTAGTTGGAACGGGTATGGGTGTTGGTCCACCAGTAGCTTCGCTATACATAACTGAGGTATCGGAAAATGATTTCTCTAAAATCATTGCTTCTAGGTAGTGGCAGTCCATATTATTGATCACTTACTTTTGTTTTGTTCCAATTTGTAGGTTTCTCCTCCAACAGTTAGAGGAACTTATGGAAGCTTTATACAAATTGCAACCTGTCTTGGTCTAATGGCATCCCTCTTTATGGGACTTCCTGTGAAGGAAGTTTTGGGATGGTAAATACATCACGAAGTATCACAATTTATCTGTTTATCTACAATACATGATTATAAACATAACACTTTGAGCTACCAGGTGGAGAGTATGCTTTTGGGTGTCTGCTGCTCCGGCCGCTTTACTTGCCCTCTGCATGGAATTTTGTGCTGAGAGTCCTCATTGGCTTTATAAGGTATGATGTGCCATGTTCTCAATATGCTGATATCTTTATATGTTGTTTTTAGCCTTTAAATATTTGTATTTGATTGCTCCCGCAAGCGTGGTTGATTAAGCTATGTTTCTTTATCTTTGAAACATGAGATTAAGTTTTAAAGAACTTGAGATGAAGAGGGAGCTATGAGTTTATGATAGCAAACATCAGCAAATACCATGTACGAAAAGAATTGGGTTGGTCTAAGACATCTTTTAATTGGAACATCCACATTTGTATTCGTCCTTCGCAGTTGGTACCCTATTCTCTATTGTGCTTGGCCCCTATAACAATTTAGTAATAAGTATCCAGCCATTTTCAGTATTAAGCGACATTTGAGTTTTCATGTCGTCTTTGAAACAAACCATTTTCAATTGCTTGTCTTCAGTCTTCAAACTTTTAACTTTTTTTTTGGAATGTTAAGTTTCCAGTTAGGAGTCTTAGGACCACAGACTATTAATCATACTACTTATTGGGTAGTAAGCTGTATCTTGCAGCATTGGATGGTTTGCAATGTCAAATAATTACGTGTATACGTGAGCACCTTGGGCACCCTGCCCTTGTTGCTCTTCAAAAATCCTGTGTATTTGAGCAGTTAGTATTATTGAACAAAATATTTAGCTTTTCTGTTTGTGACAACTCAAAAAAGTGAGGCATGTTACATTGTTATGACTTCGTGTTCTTGTTTACCCAGCATGGAAGAATTGATGAAGCGGGAGATGAATTTGAGAAACTTTTGGGAGGATCACATGTAAAATCAGCATTAGAAGAATTGTCGCGCGCAGACAGAGGGGATGATACAGAGGGTGTAAAGCTTTCAGAATTACTCTGTGGTCGTCATTTTAAAGGTGGGTTTTCATGTGTAAACTTCATCCTGACTTGTCTCGAGTTGCGTTTACTGTTATTATATTCTTACAGAACTTCTGTGTGTCCTAAGAAGTTCTTTTCATTGCAAGTCCTCTTTTTTGTACAGTTGTTTTTATTGGAACAATGCTATTTGCCTTACAACAGCTATCAGGCATAAATGCTATATTTTACTTCTCGTCTACGGTCTTTAGAAAAGCTGGAGTGCCCTCGGATACTGCAAATATATGTGTAGGAATTGCTAATCTATCAGGTACAGTACCTTGTGCAAAAGTAATGAGCAACTAGCAACATTAGAAGTTTAAGAATGGCAGCTATAACTTACTTCCATTGTCTACAGGCTCAATTGTTGCAATGGTTTTGATGGACAAATTAGGAAGGAGGATGCTACTGTTGTGGAGTTTTATTGGCATGGTATGTTATATGTGAAGATTGACAATTCGAACAGCTGCTCCTCTTTTTGTTAATAATATGTAGGGTAACTGTTTTCATGATGCCCTAACGATTCAGGCAGTGGCGATGGGTGTTCAGGCTACCGCAGCAAGGTTTCAGTTTGCAGGTTATGGGATGTTGTATCTTTCAGTTGGTGGAATGTTGATGTAAGAGTTACATTTGCTGCCTTATTTACTAGGTCTAATGTGAACATCTTAAACTAGTATTTTGGCAGGATTGAATGGCATTGCTAGATTTCAAATTTAGATTGCATAATTATTTAAAATATATATGTACAATCTTGGTTTGTATCATGGTCCTTATTTTACACTAAAGTCTAAGAGAACTACATCTGCAGGGATTCCTTTCCTGTATATGCATGCTTGTTTTCCCTATCCAAATGTAGCACAAGTATTTGTCATTTTACATCCATTTGGTTGCTGTTTTCTATTTGATCAATTGTCTCAATTGGGTTACTGTTTTGATTGGATGTTGTCCTCTTTAGAAGTTTTTTGGTCAAGCAATCTCTTGAGCTTCTTTATTATTATGTTCGGGAAATAGGTGTCATGTGTTCCTTCTCGGGATTCCGAATTGTTTTCCCTGTGTTAATCCCAAGTAACAAGCACCACGTAAGAACTCTATGATATGGTTTGATGTGCACGCATCAAACACTTATACAAGGATTGCTGGTTCTTATAGTAAGTTGGATTCACACATAAATAACTTATAAGAACATCATGCCGGTATATATGCCTATCAGTAGTGGTTATGCTCTAATATATCCCATCCAGATGTATCTGTATCCAAATGTATTTCATCCCTTAACTTGGCAAATGGACCAACTTAAGGACAGAGTGTATTGTGGCTTGACTGGACAATGGTCAGATCTTCTGAAGCCTCAACTAGGTTCTGGTGCTTTGTAGTCGCTGATGCAGTTATTATTAGCATTGTAAAATGCTTCCCTGTTGCATCATTAACTTCCTTAAATAGTCTATATTTTTCTTGTCCTTGGCACGTCATCCTTGTTAGATTTTGCAAATTTCCCTTATTTGTTCTTATTCTTAGATATTTTTATATTGATTATGAAGATGATCTTTGCACTGTGAAAAAGAGCAAAAGTTAAACGTACATGACTACTGGCATTCTACAATGCTCCACTGCTGCACAGTTAGCATGTCTATTAGACTTTATGTTCCTTGGTGTGCATGACTGACGTCCTTCCCACAGTTTGTAGATCTCACTTTGATTAGTGGCTCTTATGATTGTCCTTGAGGTTATAGATGACGGTGACTTGTTTGTTGGTGTAGAAACCGCACCATACACAGTTAATCTGTGCATCTGATCTTCATTAATTGCTAACAGTTTTTGAAGGTAAAAATAATAATTAAATAAAGGTCAATACTACTTGTGCAGGTTCGTGTTGGCATTTGCTTTAGGAGCCGGCCCAGTCCCTGGTCTTCTTCTACCTGAAATATTTCCCAACAAGATTCGAGCAAAGGCTATGGCTGTATGTATGTCTGTTCATTGGGTAAGTGCGTTGCAGCCTGAATTACATTCTGCATGATCTTGAAGAAGCAAGACGCTACAATCTAGCCTGAATTACATTTCAGCTAGCATATGATAGTTGAGTGAGCAAACAATTAAAAATGTTAATTTTAATGTCGATGTAAACCGTCTTCATTCTCTCATCAGGATATAATTTCCCCGGTGGGGAGTATAACGGTTTAACATGTATTTCTGGATTTTTATTGTCGATATTTTCGCCTATTACTGAACCTGAAACCATTTTGCAGAAGTTCATGGCCCTGTGTCTGTACCAGCTTTCTCTTTTTTCCTGTCATTTTTATTGACAGTAGCATCATGTTATGTAGATACTAAGACATGGCTGCTTACTTTCTTCCAGGTGGTGAATTTCTTTGTTGGTTTGTTCTTCTTGCGGTTACTGGAGCTTCTAGGAGCTCAGGTTCTTTATTCCATATTTGCATCTTTTTGCTTGATAGCTGCAGTTTTTGTGAGGAAGAATGTCATAGAAACCAAAGGGAAGTCTCTCCAGGAAATAGAGATTGCGCTCCTGCCACCTGAGTAAGTTATACCTTATCTCCTCTTCTTGAAGTTATAAAGCAGGAACTAAGTCCTTTCCTTGCCTCGTTTTCCTGTTTCATATGTATCTTTGGTTGACCGGTTCCTTAATAATCTGAAGATGCCGTAGGAGCTGAAAGTGCAGGAAACTTGCTTCATTTTACATGTATCCCTTCTCCTTTATAGCTTCAGTTGCAATTTTCACCACTCAAACTTATTTGCAGGAATCTGTAAGATATGCGTAGAGGTCTGTTTCAAAGGTCTATTTCCGGGAAACACCCTCAACAATGCTATGCTACCATGGTCAGGTCTATTTCCGGCAAACACCCTCAACAATGCTATGCTACCATGGTCATAACGCAGAAGGGAGGATGATTATTTACAGCCGTGATAAAACTACAAAGACTAGAGAGCTCACTTCTGCTGCGTGGGAGTATGAGACGTATGTGTTGTAATTATCACTATTGATCTGCCCCCTAAAATTTGTTACCATTTACTAGAAACAGCTCCCTATGAACATGCGTCCATTGTATCTAATACTTGATTATGATGAAGTCTTGATGGTGCTAATATTATTTTATTTCCAGTACATCATTGTCTTTTCATTTTAACTCGCTTCCTGCGGTGCAAGTAAAATTTCTAATTAAAACATGGTACTTTGGATGATAAATGTGTAACTATGAAAGATAAGGAAAGGTGCAAACTAGTTCATTGAAGATGATGGTCAAGCGTCGCGCTGCTTATTGTTTAGACTTGCGAGTGCTAAATAGATGCATCAGCAAGACATTAGTCTGTCTTTTGCCACCAAAAGAGATTCATGCCTCACGGCCATTTATTTGGATGAAAAACAACTTCCAATTCCCAAACAATTGAGCGAAAACTACAGAAATAAATTTAAAAAAAAAACCCACAAAATGAAGATGTGGCTTCTGTTCTGTCACAACCCTGCAAGGCTCAGAGGAGAAATAATTAGAATGCTGGAGAGACAACAACAAAAACAGTGGAAAGTTCCTCTAGAAGAGATTTTTCATTTGGTCATGGACTGATTTGTGGGAGGAGTCGTCTGCGCGTACTGTTGTTTAGCCAGATGACCCATCCAACCTGCAAAATAAATAGTACGATAAAAGCATCAAATAGCAGAACCAGATAGCAAAGCACCCAAGCAAACTTAGTTACAATGCAAATAATAGCAAGCGAAGGGTGAAGTGTGTATATATATATATATATGAGAAAAATGGGTATACTTGGTACCAAGGATCCTTGGTAGTGATGTGGACACATCTTGTCCATACATCACACCTAGAAGATGGAGCCTCACCAACTCCAAGGTGTGATGTATGGACAAGATGTGTCCACATCACTACCAAGGATCCTTGGCCCAAGTATACCCATATATATATATATATAGGGTACCTAGAGAAGGATCAAGTCCTCTCCTCTCAAGCTCTCTGTACTCTTGGCAGAGAGCGCAACAAGGGCAGAAGAGATGAACTGCCCAATCCTCGTACGGAGCTTCGACCAAGTTGTACTTCAGCCTCAGCTTCTGCCTGTAATTTGAGCCCAGAACCCAGCAAGTGAGTAACGCTGGCACCATCAAACTGTACATAAAACTCCCCAGCGTGCAGCCTGCGAAACAGAGCTTCGCCTTTGTTAGGCCCTTTCACCTAATAATCTCGCGGGAAAAAAATAATAGACGTCATTTTTTTTTTTGTTTTTTTTTTTGTTCTAACGGGTTTGGCCCTCAATCGAAGAGGATCCGCATTCTGTCCGAAAGTAAATCAAAGGAACGCGTCATAACAGCTCACATAAAACACGTAACAAGTAAGATTAGTCTCGACTAGTTTCATTTTTCAATGCGCAGAGGGGGGGGGGTGGAGCGGTCGGGCAGGCGGGGGGGGATAAAACAGAGCCAGGTAAGAATAAATCGACGTTTACGCGTTGGTGTACGTTCAAAGGTGAATCGAAACAAACAGACGCCATGGCTCTCGGACACTTGGGCCCTAGTGGGTTACGGTGAAGCCCCGCCGAGGTTCTCTGATGCGTAATGTGACTGCCGTGGCCCGCGGGAATGACCCTGCGCGTGCCATCGACGACCCCGGCAGGAGCCTGATGAACGCAAGGAGGAGGATAAGCGGAGGATACGCTCCGGCGTGGCGCTCGAGTTCTCCGTCGGGCGTACGGGCCGGATTCTTGACTGTGGCTCGCTGGAATTGTGGCTGAGGTCTACCCATTATTGGCCGAGATGCGAATGCCGCTGATGCTGCTTGGTGTTAGTGGGCTCAGTATACGTTGTTCGAAGTCAAGAGGATTGCTTGGCGGGGCTTTTGTCCTGGGCGTTGAGTTTGTACTTGTTGGTGATGGAATTGAAAGCTTGCATGTGATGTGAGGTTGGTGGAGTCTTTAGGTTGACTTTGGGGAAGAGGCTTGGAAATGTGAATAGGCTCGTAGCTTAATTAATTGGGCTTTTTAAAAAAAAATTTATTAGCAAGAAGGGATATTGGCAGATGAAGAAGCTAGACAAGGTTAGAATAAGGAGGGAAGACTTTGAATTCTGACTTCTAGGAACTTGCTTGTTATTCAATGAAGATGATAGCCAAATGAAAATGGGTATTAAATCACCATTTGTTAAATCACCATTTACCCACAGATTCCTTGAGGAAAAAAAAAATCCTATAATCAAAAGTTGACAAGATCAATAAAAGCTAAAATATCTAGCTAGTTGTCTAACACGTTATGTCATGTTTATATGATTTTTTTTTTCGTTTTAAATAAAAAATACCGACAAATGACCATAACATACAACTGTCTCAAAACCGCAATAACTCAAAAGAAGCCCAGTAAGCACATGTTGCCCGGCCTTGGGCTTTGGTGTTAGCTGGCGCATGGGTACATTTCATCCGATCCGCTTACGGTCCCTAATCGGATCTCATATTTACAGTGGGATCCGATATGGGTTGAGGGTTTACGATCCATTAAGACATAGCGCTGAAACAATTTCTTCTTCAATCTTCACACTCCCAATTCTCCTCGTCATCCTCATCCCAAACCCTAACCCTTATCGGATCCAGACCCTATCAACCCCCAAACCAAATGGATCCATCTCCACCATCACCGGCACCACGCGGCCGCAGCTGGAGCATCTACGGC